GCCACCTTTTGTTTGTCATTAATGTTTTTCCAAACAATGAAAGATAATGATAGAATAGAATAAAGATAATAATAGTGGTAGTGGCAGTGGCAGTGGCAGTAGTAGTAATTTGAATGTTTATTATCTACTACTACCAAGATTCTACGATTTCTTCATTCTTCCCTTCATCCTTAGCCAATCAATTAATCTTACTAAAAAAAGTATAAAAAAAATTACTAATGATGCGCAGCAAAAAGTAGAAAATCAACGAACATATACTAAAATGTATTATGAAATCGACACGCTTTTTTTGTCCATTATATACGTGCTCGTGCTAAAAAATTTTTTTTAATATTAAAAAATGTTTAATGATTTATTAAAAATAAATAAATAAATAAATAAATAAATAAATACATATATATTTATTTATTTATTTATTTATAATACATTGTTGGAATTTTTAAGTAATAATAACAATGGGTAATAGTAAATTAATTATTAGGTAAGAAGTGTGTTTTTTTCCCTAGTAAGAAAAAATAAAAAAAATTTTTATTTTATGTTATTTTTTATTTTTAAGAAGCTTTATATATGTGCGTCTAATATATACATATATATATTATATATATAGGGAAATCTAATAAACTTGTAAATCAAGAAAAAAAAATAATGCTTATTTTAGTGTTGACAATGTCAAATCAATCAATTAATAATTTAATGTGCTGGTACTTGCGCTAATTTTCCTCCCCTCCTTTAAATTTTATATAATTAATATATAAAAACTTGTTCTAGTAATAAAATTTAGGGGTGTTTTTCTAACCTATTGGTGATTGATTCTCAAAAAACTACACGCGTACATATTAAAAATGTTTATTTTGCCTATAATAGTTATTCATTCACAAATCATTTCCTAATCGTTAATTCTAATGAATGATCGATCACTCCAATCTATTATTATTGTATATTATAATCGGTAAGAATAACGAATGAATGACATACATAATATTTACGTTGCTTTTTTTTACCTCCCCTAATTTCTATTAAAAAATACGAGGAATAATTTTGTAGATCAATTATTAATATTTTCCTTTTTTTAGAAAACCTATAAATACTATGTATCCATCTTTCAAACTTCTTTCTCAAATTCTTCCATTTTTTATTTAATTTTTAATTTTTACACAAGGTAAAATACTTTATTTAGAAATAAATAAAAATATAAATAAATTTTATGCAAATCTTTATAAATTGGCGGGAAAAAGTTTTATTCAAGTCGAATTATTTATTTAAATTATGGTGGTTAAAACAAAATATTTATTTATAAATATAAATACATGTATGTATATATATATATATCACTCTTTGTTTTTTCTTCTTCGATCTTCATCCTCGTCTTCTCCCTCGTTCCTCTTTCTTCCTAGCAAAATTATTTTTATACGATTAAATTTGTCAGCCCACGACTTTTTCACCAGAAAGTACTTAAGCAGCTACTAGAAGCCTCTCCATAATTCAAGATTTTGTAATGAATTTCTAGCACCATCAATCTCGATATTATTTGACTGGTAATTGTTATTGTCATTGCCACTTTCCATATGATCAGGTTCTTCTGGTACTTCAATAGATTCGATCATATTCCATACCATTAAATTGTGACTTGCGCAAAGAGCCAAAGGACCTTTATCATGTTGTTAGAGTATTTCCGCGATATTGTAACCTTGTTCTTTTAGTACTGTTACCTGTTTAGAAAACATCCCATTAGCATCTAAAGAAAAAAGTTGATGTAACTCATGTATTGTCTCTTCCACCATTTGTTATTGAAAGAAAATGTTTTCAGTGAATGGAGTTCCTACAAGGGACTCAGAAAGAAATAACCAACCATATGGGCAGAAACGCCATTGATCAGGATGTTTAAACGGGAATGGCAATCCGTTGTCAATGGCAGCTACATGGATATGCGGATAAACAATTTTTGATAAACGGCCAGAAGAACGACATGTGGTATTAATGTTTGTTGTAGTAATAGTTTGTTTTAATTTGACTTTGTTGTAATAATCATTTATCATTTTTTGATAGGCTTGATGATGGTAGTTGAAGCAGATCTGATTTAATAAAAATATTTGAATTATGTGGCGCTTGTAGCTCTGAAGAAGAAGAAGGCATTTGAACACTTTTAAATAAAGATGATTTTGATTCAGATTTTTTTTTATTCAGTAATAATCTATATTTTGATAAATCCTTTGGAACATACATTTATAACACATTTTTATCACAATACTTGATCATCCAATTATTAATCCTTGATCTTAAAATGTGTGTGAGAATTATTTATGATATTATTACAAAAAGTATAATAAAATACATGTTCTTGACCTAAAAAAATAAATCAAAGTAGGTGCTGTTTAATTACCGATGTTTCTCCAAAATTACTAATTTTCCAAATTGTTCTCTGAATTGAATTTGAAGTGATTTAGTCCAAAAAAATCTTTTTTTAGAATGATAAGATTCATTCAAGTACTCATCATCAACACCGTTATCTTGTGAAGAATATCCTCCACATATGATTGAATTCAATTTACTGTTATTATTATTATTATTATGGCCACTACCACTACCACCAACACCATCATTGTTATCATCATCATCTTCTCCTTCTAACATAGCTTTTCTACCGTTATTTCCAATCGAATCATCAAATTCAGGCCATGGATGTTCCTTTAAAAATATATTGGCATCTTTATAACCACTTAAAAATATTTGAAAACTACCAATTTTTTCGGGTAATGGTTTATAATGGTTTTTAGAACGAGCAGCACGACGATCCAAGTAGTCGTAGTGGAACGAAGGAGATGAAATCCATACAACTTCTGTTCTTGGAACAATGTTTAATTGTAGTTGACGATCAAGTAGTGAGGCAGCAGCTTCTGAAATATAACCAAGGTTAGGGATCAAACTATTTGTAATAAAATATATAATTAACGATTCTTGTTAATAGTAATGAAAAATTAAATAAAATAAAATGAATGAAAAAAACCATACCAGCTTCTACCAAAGAAACAAGGGAATAGATTTCTATGGATCCATTTTGTCCATTTAGGATTCAACTGACCATACGGTTCTTCGTTTTTAGGTTTAAAAACACCTACCACGTTACCATCTTTATCACGACAAAAATACGAACCAGAAGAACCTTGCCTGATTCTGGTTGGTTGAACATTAGATATTATTGCAGCTTTTACCGAATCAACAATTGCAATAAAATCTTCAAAAGTCATAGGTGGCTCATGATCTGGTGTAAGAATTGGCCCACTTGACTAACAAGAGAATTAAGGATCAAATAAGAATTGTTTCTTTAGATAAAATATAATAATTATATTGATAATACAAACCCGATATCCTTGCAAGTCTGGAATAGGTATGAAAACAGATTTATAAACCTCTAGATCACCCCTATCCCTTCCGCTTCTATCTTTTCCTTT